GCCGTTTCAGAGTTTGTTTCGGTCAATAACACATTGCTTTAGAGAGGCAAATAAACCATCAGACAGGCTGGCCAAGATGGGTGCGAATTGGGGAAGTGATGCTTTGTTTGACTCCTTTGTAGAGCTACCCCCTATGGCTCGCGGTGATATATGGATGGATAGGTTAGGCTTTCCTAGCTTTCGGAAAAGGATCTTGCAGCTTGCACTTTTTGATGTAATCGCTTCTGGTGTGATTGAATGAATAAAATAGATCTTGATTAAAAAAAAAAACTTACTGAGATGAACAAACATGTTTAAACACATGATATTTTGACTTGTTTAGCTTCATTTATATCGCTACTTATATTAGCTATTTTTGAGGTTTTTTTTTAAAATTTTACTATACCTATATATATGAAAGGCTTTGCTATAAATGTTTGTGGAGGGTACCTTCAGGAAATTTTTCTGAATGTATTTTTGGGAATTTTTAAAATTTAAAAATTTTTGAGGTATTTTTAAAAAAAATTTATGCCACCTACCACTACCACCTACTGCAACCACACCCTACCTCCTCCTTCCTCCTCTCTCCTCTCTCTCTCTTTCTCCCCCTCCTCCCTCTCCTTGTCCTTCCTCCTCTCCCTTCTCTCTACTCTCTCCCGTCCTCCCCTCCATTCCCCCATCCCTTAGATTCCTCTCGCTCCATCACGGCCAAATCTAGTCATGATCAAAAAGGTCACATCCACCAGGGGGATTTGAGAGGCGAGGGGAGGTGGTGGTAGGGGAAGGGAAGGAAGGCGGAAGGAGAAGAAGAGGGAGGGAGGACAGAGAAGGAGAGGGGAGGGGAAGGTGGTGGTGGTGCAATGGAGAGTGATTGTTTGTGGTAGTGCAATGGAGGGTGATGGATGTGGTGCCAATAGAGGGTGATGAAACAAGAAAGGTGGGAAATTTTTTTTTGGATTTTTTTAGGTGTATTTGAGATATTGTATTTTTTGAGTTGTTTTTGAAGTTATTGACTTAAAAGGCAAAATATAACTTTTCAAAAACACCTTAACCCAAATAGAGTACATCGATGTTCTTTTAGTCATTAGACACTCCCCCAAACTTTATCATTGTGCTTTGAATGATTGACTTCCTCCAAACTTTACCATTTGTTATAATTTTTATTTTTTTTAACTAGTGTATGTTCGATCATTCGACACTTCTCACCCAAAAGGAAAAAAAAAAAACTAAATTCCTGGTTTTGTCTATGTTCGAATTCTAGCAACAGGTTTGCTTTACTTGGCGATATATGAAACCCTACAATTAACTCCCAAAACTACCACATTACTTCCCATTAGTCCTTTGGTAAATGTGCTTTAAAGGTTCAGATTCATTTGGTCGATTTCAATAAGGACGAAAACTTTACGATAAAAAAGAAAAAAAATTTCACGTTCTCATCTATGTCAATTTTCCTTCACTTTGATTTTATTTGTAATTGACTGCGCATGCGAAAGTCAGCAACTCCAATCATCATTTGCCATCTACTCCACTTGGAATGTTTCAAGTTTAGTCAAAATTAGTATTAGTTTTATACCCCGTATATGTATATTATATTTACAAGACCAATAATTAGATACGCAAAAAGATAGCATCTGTAATTCGTCGCTTTCATTTATTAATTTGAACCCTCAAATGTGAATGATCTTGGCTTAATTTATTAGACTCCATCCATATAATTGACCAATTCTAACAACTGGATCATTCATTGTCCTCCATGGTATAACCTAAAATATAGATTAATATAAGCTCTATTTATAGGGTCTTTCTAGATTGTAAACATCTTTATTTTTTGTTATCAGTCCCACTATCTAGCAAGCAAAAGAAATTCACAAAGAAGAAGAAGAAGAAAGGCGTGGAAAGTTTTCACCTGACAATTAATTTATTGTATCCTAGTTGATTTACAGAATAAAAAAATAGAACTTGATCGGGATAAAAGTCTATTGGATTAATAGTGACATTATCAACTAGCACAATGTATGATAAAAATTTCCAGAGGTTGACGCGGTCATGCCGCAATGTATGCTTGCTTTTTCGTATTCTTAATTTGGGAATCTTTTCATCATGATGGACTACTTTTTTTACTCTTAACGTTTTGCACACAAGTCAAGTTTTGTGACGACCATCTATACCTCATCAAAAATTCCATTCTACAGAGTGCTTAATGATCAAATTGATCTATTATTAACGTAGGAGATTTAATCTAGTGACTAAGGCCGAGACCTTAGAAAATAGAGGTTTTGAATTCAAATTTTTCTCCTTCATTGATGTATTATTAACGTAGGAGATTTTGATCTACTGACTAAAGTTGAAACTTTAGAAAATAGAGATTTTGAAGTTAAAATTTTCTTCTTTTTTCCCGTTTTTTAAATCTTACCCCTTCCTTCTTCTCGGAAAAAAAGGAGAAAAAAATTCATGTATTGTCAATTTCATTGAGAAAGAGAGAGACATCATAGTGGGTTTTGTTGAGCTTGATCCTTCCTGTTTTTTTAAATCTTACCCCTTCCTTTCCGGAAAAAAAGGAGAAAAAAAATTCATGTATTGTCAATTTCACTGAGAAAGAGAGAGACATCATAGTGGGTTTTGTTGAGTTTGATCAACCAATGCCATAATGATGGGATGAAAAGTTGGAACTTGACTAGGGTTTTGCTTGGTTGGACATAAGTAGTTTTCCTTCTAGACCATATAACAAATGAGAATTGCTTTGCTTTCGTCTTTTATAAATACCCTTCTTTGCACAATTTTACGAAAAAATAGTATTTTTAAAACTGTAGTTCTCAATCATTTCTTGTCGAAAGAAAGGAAAAAAGACTAATTTTGTGCACCATTAGACCCAAAAAACTTAGACAACTTCTCTAGAATACACTTGTGCCCCAACAAATGGAGCCATAAAAAGGAGAAAATTGATTGCAATATTGGAGAGGAGCCTTGAGGATCACCAAGGGGGGAAAAGAAAGGTATCTTAGATGCGTATACCTCTTGGAAGTCTTTCTAGGTTTGTTGGTAGACTGAAGAGAAAGCTGATGAGACTTGACTTGGTCTAAAAACAAACTTTATGGATTCATTGTCATCGGATCATGGCACAATTGGACTTCTTGCTTATCTAGAACCGGCTTTAATTGAATTGATGAAGACTGCCGTGGCATTGTAACGCCAAGAAAAAAAAAGTAAAGTAGAAAAATTCATACCAAAACAAAGAGAAATGTAGCGAAAGAACCTTTTTGGGGCATTATTATACCTCAGGGATAATTTCACAAAAACCTTCCTTGAGATTTGACTTAATATCACTTAGCACTATCGTTTTAAAATTTACATTTACCTCCCCATGTCAGATTGATAAGATAAGACGTCTCCATTATGGATGGTGAATTGATAATATTACTCTACTGAAAATCCTTAATATATTATCTGAAATTGCCAAAAAAAAATGAATTTGGAAAGCAAAAGAACGAGGAAAACGAATATCAAAATTGCAATTCAGATTGACTTTGCGCCATTGGCTGAAAACCTCATCACCTTCATTATATCATTGTAAATAGTTGCATCTTAAATAGCTTGTTTGGATTCGTTTCTCTCTCCGATTTCCTGATTGTCGCCTTTCTATTGCAACCACAATATCGATTCTTTATAGTACATGATGTTGGCAAATTATAAGAGTGCCCTTCTATGTTGGAACTTGCCATGATTTCTTCTCCCAATTCCTATTTTAAGTCACCCCTTTTGTGCTAAACTTGTGTTCACTGTTTAATTATTGAGCTGCTTTTACAATTCTAGAGTTGGAAAACTAATCATTTCAATGTGTACTACGTTGTTGAACTATTGCAAGTTTTCAATCCCACAGTTAGAAGTAAAATGTTCTCTCTCCTCTGATATGAATTTTTTTAATGCTAATTGAACCCTCAAGCGCTGACAATGTTATAAAAAATGTCAATTAAGGGAGGTAAGCAAGATTTTTGAAACCACGGAGGTGCTAATTGATATTAACCCAAACCTCAAGGGAGGTTTGTGAGATTATCCATATACCTAATGTACTTGCAGACCATAGACAAATTGAGTGGAATCCTAAATTATCTTTTCCATTGTTTAAATGTTACTTCTAATTCAGGAAACATATTGGATGCTTTGACCCATTCATACAGGCACTCTCTTTAATCAATCAGGCAACCACCTTGTGCATTAAATATGACCACTAGACTGTTGGAAATGTACAGAGTGGGAAGGTCAAGATTGTGATGGAGTTTGTCATTTTCTTGCTAAAATGTATAATTTGATTATTAATACCACTAAACTGTGAGCGCATACATGTGCACGCAGACAAACATACCTTTCATGCTATTTTTCTTTCACAAAAATACATTGCAGCTAAAACAAGAAAAAGGTAAAAAAAGAAAAGAAAAGAAGTCATCCAATTCTCTTTTGTGTCGTCAAGGGCTGAGACCTTTAAATTCTGATATTTTCATTAGTTTTGTTATTTAATTACCTTCCAAACTCTACTAGGAGTCTTTACTGATCAGTCTTAACTCTTAAGTACTATGCTTAATTTGTCTTCAATAAAAAAAAAAGGTTAATATCTCAGTAATAAAATCATGTTAAAACCCAGAAATTATGCCCTTGAACTTTATATATAGAGATCAGAATTCTACTCTTCCCGGGTTTCAACTCCTAGACTAATCAGTTTTCCAGGTTTAGCCACTTTAAAGTCGCCAGCACATGAGTTAGGCCTAATTCAGCCCCCCGAACACTTTCATTACAATACTTGAAGATAGCTTGTCCAAGTACTATATGATTAAGCATGGATGGAAATTAGCCCACTGAGGATAAAAATTCTTCCCAAAGAAACAAAACCAAACTTAGCGAGATCATCGCCAAGCTATCACTTTCTAACGCAGATACCAAGTTTCAACAGATTGTAGCTTTTGGAACGAAAGACAAGAAGGCAAGGCTTAATCTTCAAGAAGGAACAGTATCAGCTAAAGGTTCGAGATTGTGGAGAATAAGATGTACAGAGCACTTTGATTTCCAAAAAATATCCATCAAAAAATGTAATTTGAACATTGCTGCTTATTCAAAGAGCAGGCTTGTGCTAAAGCAGCAAAGTTACCATATCTACAGCCAACAGAATAAAAGTGCCAAATATGAGAAAGCAGTGAAAAACAAGACCAGGTCACCTATTATCTGCATCGATGTATTTGCCAAAAAATGAAGTCACTTTCGTATGAACATGTTGGACCAGTTGGGTCACCATGCCAGTTCACAGCTACCAATCTAAGACTATATCAAGGAGATAATGTCAAATGGCTATAGCAAAATCTTTGATAGACTGTTTCTAGTATGGAGTATCTGATTCTGCTAGCAATGAATATTTACAGCCTTTGAGAACTTCTGTTGCATAGAGAATCTAAGATGATTGAATGGGCTCACACGGGAAGCCGGAACAGTTGCAGAATGGGGCTTACACGGGAGCATCCATTTATAAGTGACTTTGTCTTTCATCACCATGACAACGCACAATGTTTCCCGTGGGTGGGTCTAGCAACATGAAATTTGCATTCGAGTTGCACTGCTTTCTTGACAAATCAGTGATGATTTTCCATGAGATCTGCAAGAGTAATTTTCCCACAATTTCCCGTGTCTAGCCGTTCAAATTGTTTACATACCTGCAAGATATCCATCTCTGAAATTTTTCCCATCGCCTTGAGCTTGTATATTACAAACTCTGATTTGCTGCCAGATAATATAAAAGGAAAGAGAAATCAGGATAAAGATTACCATCGCTTCTATTGACACAACTGGAAAAATATGCAAAAAGACAGCAGCCATTTGAATGCCATTAAAGCTGAATGCTTAAGACTAAAAACCTAAGAAATTACGACAACCCTTTAATCACGAATCCAACTAGGATGCAGAATCTTACAAAAACAATGCTAAAACAACTAAAATATGCTCCAAGATATTAAAATCCTTTTTCCATTTGTTATTCTTTTCAATCAGGTTTCTCCCCCATCAATCTTCCTCGGTAAAACTGTTTGACTCCGTATTACATAGGATGCCAATCCTTCCACCCATTCATCATTCTCCAAACTTGAATTGCAATGAACTACTACAATTGCCATGATCCTAGTTCTCTCCAGCATCGCGAGTATAATATTTCGGTCTAGGAATTATTTAACTTTTGGCTCTACCAGCTCATCAACAAAGCATAGCGGTAGGTTCTCCCAAGGGTCATAAAGATGACCTTCAACAAGTGGTCTAAATAAAAAGTAGTGTGTTAAACTGAATCGCCATGCATCAAATTTAGTTGGCAGACACAGAATTTGGTTTTTACAGCTAAATCAAAGGACTACAAGAAGAACCACAAGCATACTCTTCATTGTTGTTAATCTACACAAACACTTCCGCAATTGACACATTCTAAAAGGTTCATGGCATTAGGTTGCTTTCTAGTTCTTAATTTATCTATATTTTATATTTATCCATGTCCAGTTGGTGGTATCATTCACTAGCACTTATCCACCACTATAGTATGGATAATCACTTGCAAACTTTTGCCAGGTATCTCTGTTATTCCCATCAACTGCATTAGTCTTTTGACTTCCCTTAAACACTGCAACTGCAACATTAGTTCCATGAGAATAAGAAATAATTATTAAACATGACCAAGGAATTTTCCTTCATCTATCTCAAATGAGAAGAGCAGAGCTCTCCACAATTCTTGTCTAGGAGACATCATATTTCAGGGCAAAATCACTTCTCAACTACCTTTTGAGATGCTAGAAGACTCTTGGCAATCTACTTTAGTTAGCTTTTGGATCCCTGCCAGCCAGCATGATTGGCACTTGAGAGTCAATTATTGCAAACTAAAAGACAGATTGTCCTTGATCTAAACCCAATTATTCCAAACTAAAAAACAAGGGGAGAGCATAATTAACTTCGACACTTTTACAATTATAAATTCATTTACCCTTGGAGTTCCAGGATGCTACCAAAAGATTTAACCAGAAACAGGGGCTTGTTTCAGCACGACAACAGTGTCTGTTGAAGGTAAGTTAACAGGTGGCAAGTTCTACTCCAGGTGAAACAGGGATACTACTAAAATGCAGAAACAAAGACTTCAGAATTCTAAATCTAGATTAGATTAATTTGGAAACCTTATCCTGGGAGCAAACAAAACAAATCCGTCCCATTTTATTAGTCTTGATTTCTATTTTAGTTTGTCCCAAATTATTTGTCATGGTCTTAAAAGGGAAATAAAAAAAACTAACCTCCCCATTTTATCCTTAATTCAATTTTCAAAAAGAGCATTAAAGCTATGTTCCAACATTAAATGCTCTAAAAAACTAATGTAAAATTCAAAAACAACTAACAAAATTTGAATTTAAGTTAATGGGTGATCATGGAAAGAGTTATTTGATGGTTGGTCAAAGATTAAATTTCTTAAACTGTGTGCAAAATTGACCATGACAAGTAAAATGGGATGGAGGGAGCACAAAACAAAACAGTGCTGGAACCCTGAGCTAACATGAAAGAAAATAGGAGAGTATCCTAAAAATTTCTAATTAGTGGTGTTGGCATTTACTGCTAATTGCACTTTTATGAATGACAAATCATCCACTTACTTCAGATTTCTAAATCATGTTTCAAACAGTCCCATAAGCTTTCACAAAAATCTGTTTGAATCAACAAACTCCAACATCTTGAGCCTAAACAAATGTCACAGAAATTGTTAGAGCAAAACTGATTGAAATCAAATCCCTTACCAACAAAATTACCATGGAACAAGTTTGATAAAAACAGCATTTAAACCAAGCTATTAGTCACTATACCAACACTGCATTTCAGTTCCCATGTGTCCTATGTAGACTGAATATATCTATCATAATTAACTCATTCAGCCATCCTAAAAAAAAAGACCCATATTCTGTATCCCCATTGTTTGAAATCAGTACAATAATGTCTAGAAAGTACAGAAGTTGGATTATATGCCTTCATTGCAGTCAGAAAAATAAACTAGGCAACAGTGTAACAGACTCAGATCACATGCTGTAGCATGACTTGTCCTAGAAATATTGCATTGTTCTAACACTTGTTTGGTAAGCAAAGTACCCTAAAATTGTTCTTAATTTTTCATACATTTGGAAACTTCTCTTTCTTTGCTTTAGATTAATTCTTATGGAGCTCATATTGTTTTCTCTCAAAACCTGTTTCTGGATGCCAAAATGATGCAAATATTACTACTTAAGGGGGGAAAAAGCACAATGAAGAGGCTAAGGAACCCTAAAGAGTGATGTGCAACATTTATGCTTAAGGGGGAAAAATGTACAACAAAGAGGCTAAGGAACCCTAAGAGCAATGTGCAACATATATACTTAACTGCCAATCCATTTTTAATTCTGTTAGTAAACTCTGTAGAAAAGAAACATGGCAACTGGATAGAAGAAAAGATCTTACCAACATTCTTTTCTACTAACTTCCAAATTTATAAGATACATGTTAACCACCACAAATTCAATAGAATTCTACCACTCTAATTCATGTTTGACATGCATTATAGTTTTTGTAATTTAAATGTTCAGTAGAAAAGGAACTTGGAATGTCTAATACCTGTCTTTACACCTGGATTATCATGCTTCCTTTTTAAACGAGTCAATACTATATCTTCCAATGTTATAAAAGACAAGTCTGTCCATTGCTCATCTGTTAATTGTATTTTTTTCTTTTTAGCACTAATACAAATGAGTATACAACTCCAAAAAAGCTATCCTTATCCATAAGAGACTGTCAATTTTGAAGTTAATTCAATAACTCCAGAATATATATGTCAAACTCATATGTAAAAGATATTCACACAGTAAACATGAATAGATATTCTTTAAAGAGACTCACACCTCATGCATGACAAGTCAAGCGGAAGTTTCTGCTTAAGGTGCAGAGAGGAAATTAGAAGCCAACATCTTCAATATAACACAATGAAGCCTATCCACTGCTCATTTGTTTTCCTCACATCTCCAAATATATTTTGGTATTAAAAACATTCTGAATTTATTCCTCAGATAAAATTGCTCTTATTCATACAGTCCACTTTTTTCCAAGTAAAATTTACCTATTTCATTCAATTCATCATCACCAAATGCCAATAGATGTCAAAGTAGGATCCAGTCACTGGAAAGCCCAGATACCTAAGTTCTAGGGGAATAAGAGTATACACCCAAAATAGCTGTCTTGACCATTGGAATCCAATATAGTCAATAGCTAAGGATTTTGTTCACTCATTTTAGATCAACATTTAAAGTCTGATGTTCCCATGCCTTGTTCCTCTTTCTCTTCCTCTCCCTCCTCTAAAAACAAAACAAGAAAAAAGGGATAACTTGTTTCAATCCCATATTAGTGTCATCTTTTCTTCATTAAAAAGTCAAATTCTTGTGAGGTTTTTTTAATTTACTAAACACCTCAGAAAATAAGATTGTTTAAAAGTCTATCAAATTTACAATGTATGAGGGATTAACTAGTAAAGTCAGATCATACTACTGAACTAACGAGTTGAATCTACCATTCAAACAAAAAAAAAGTTATTTGGCTTGAACATATGAAAACTCAGAGAACCTCAGCAACTCATTAGATAAGCTCAATAAAGTAAACCATCAACATATCCATTTTATTCATTTAAAATAAGGTGCCGAATCTTTAAAGGTCTGCCATTTGATCCATATAAAGAGGAGACACCCAATACCTACTCAACATTTAGCTCTTGCAGCTTCAAAAGAAGAGTCATTTATCACAAAATAAATCAGAGTAAAACATATAGGATCCAGAGTCCTATAATCATAAAACTCAGTGGATAGATTGATGAATCAAAACAAAAAAAAAAGTTCTTGCAGCAAAGACACAGATAACAAGCAACTTATCTGCCTTTCAGTGTGAATCTATACAAAGAATAGAAGATCTTCTATGCAGGTTTTTCACCACAAACTCAGAAATACTCGGATCCTAAGACTTTTGTGCAGGTTGATCATAACTCATCTGCTAGCAAAACTATGACTGCTAACTTCTTCAAACTTGTTAAACATCATGATGAATTAAACATCAGCAGTGATCCACAGAGCAAACTTGGCTTATATATCAACAACTTTCACAATGGCACAAATCGTTGTTTGCAATATAAATTGGTCAATAAGATATTTAAATATTGAGAAAAGGCACATGATCTTACGTCACAAAGCCATTGTTATCAATATCAGCAGCAAGAAACTGTGCCACAGTCATATCCTGTCCAAGTACCCATTTTGCCATGCTTCTATGCCGCTTATCCACCCTTGCCTCAGCCAAGTAAAGAAATGCACGAGCCACAGCAAGCGTAGATACAAGCAACCAAATGGATGCAAAAATCCGACCAGGCAAGGAAGTAAATGCCCTATCCCCATATCCAACAGTAGTGACAGACATAACAGACAAATAGAAGGAATCTAACCAGCCAAGCCTCTCAACATAATGCATAACAGCAACTCCAATTCCAATACAAAGAATCACAACCCCCAAAGCTAATGCCACCTTCATTCGAATTCTCATCCTCCCCTTCTTAACATCAATTACAAACCGCCCTGGATCATGAGCTCCCCCATTCTTAAGTGTCCTCAACAGATAATTTTCTTGCAAATCAAGAACATAACTAACCATCCCAGTAAGCAAAATATCAACAAACCCAAAGCCCACAAGCACGAACATGATAGAGAACAGCTTAGTAGAAGCACTATCAGGGGTTATATCACCATATCCAATAGTACACATAGTAACAATGCAGAAGTACAAAGCATCAACAACAGGGTGTGTTTCAGTGGCCTTGAAATGATCCGTATTAAAAGCATAAATAACAACACCGAGAGACAAATATATGATCAATAGAACCACAGCTTGTCTTATAATTGACTGAGAACCGAACACGGGTGGCTTGGGAGCTGATGAATGATCAAAATCATTGATAACAGCCATAGCAGGGGCAGTCTTGGACCTGTGCAAATTCCCTTTGGTCCATGGAATATTGGGATCGGTCAACCAAGACTGCTGACCATTTTGCTGGTCAAGATTGCATTTTTCTCCAACAATATTGGATTTTAGGTCCTCAGACGAAGTTTTTCTTGGAGAATTGATGCTTAAAGCCAATGCATCAACAAGAGTTGAAGAAGAGGAGTCCATTAAAGGGGTGGAAGAGGATGAAGGGGGTGTGCCAAAGATAAGCCTATCTTTGAGTTCTGATGGAGTGAGACAACCATTGGGTGGTGGGATTGTGATTTCATCGTTTTCCGGTAAAGGGCACAGAGAAATTGGGGGTGGTGGAGGCTGAGGGGAATAGGACTGTCTTCTGGTGTTGACATAAGGGAGGAGAGGCTCTTTCTCCATTTGGGTTTGCCGGAAAACCAGGTTTTGGATGGCCGGAATACCAGGAAAAGGGTGGGGTTCGGTTTCTGTTTCATAAGGCGGCTAATGATTGAGGTGCGTGTTTTATCTTTTATGAATTAGGCTGAGATCAGTCTGAAATTTATATATTGCCAAAATGGGAACAGATTACAAACAGAGCGGAAGAAGCTATTATGATTTGAGGAGATGAAGAATCAACTTTGTACATCCGCATATGAATATGATAGAGAGAACTATAGGGAATGTTTGTCTCGGCTGCTTCATTGTGGCAAGGAAATTTGGAGTGGGGGCCACCTTTTGATGAAACTTTTGATATATTTTCTTTTCATGCTCCTTTTCTAGGAAAGCATGAGGCCTCGAAAGTGCTAGAATATTTGTACAAGTAATTTTGATAATAATTATTATTTGGTTTGACATTTTTTCAAGAATACGTCTTCTTCTTTGTGTTTTAAACACGAATTGAATATGGATTTTTTTTATAATATCATACAAAATGTCTCTCACACTACACTAAAAGATTTTTCACGTCTTCTACAATTGAAATACTAATTTTATGTCTCTCACAAAAGCAAGTTAGTCCAATTTGGCCAAAACCTCTAATTGCAATCTATTTTTTGGCTTTGAAATCAACACGTGATTAAATTTTAAAGGAGCAAAAGAGTCGTATCAGAGAGAGTAATTAGAAATTTTTTCAAAAAAACTACTTAGAAAAAATTACAAAATTCAACGAGAAATATTGAGGTCTCCTGGGAAAGAGGAGGGAGTTCGAGTTACGGGGAAAGGAGAGGAAAATGGCTAAGGATTAGAGGACAAGAATGGTGGAGGGTGAAGGGGGTTAGAAGCAAGACTTATTTGGAATAAAAGTCAAATTATAAAAATTGTAAATTGTAAATTTAGTTTGTCACTTTTCTTTCCTTCTATTTTGTCTTTTTCAGGAGATTTTGTAGTTTTTGAATTTGTCCTCTAGTAGATTGTTTGAAAAGGTTTTAAATTAGTAAATTAGGATATGACATTTTTGCCCCTTTAAAATTGTTCACATATGGCTATTTCAGGAAAAAAAAAAAAGTAGTGGAATTAGAGTTTCGAACCAAATTGAATAGGTTTGTTTTTGTGAGTGATACAAAATCAGCATTTTAAATATGAGTGACATGAAAGTTCTTTTGGCAAGAAGTGAGAGACATTTTGTGCAATTTTTTTTTTATAGTTTAATGGTCAAACTTAATGTTAAAATTATGTAAAGCACCAATCTCTATCGTGCGTTAAAAATATTTTGGATACTAAAAATTCTACTCTTAAATTTGTGAAACAAAATAAATCACAAAAACATCTCTTAAGTGCTTTATTGCACAAAAATTGTAATTTTTCGTAGAAATAGGCAATCCTGAAAGGGTCTTAGTACAACTAAAAATCTAAAGTGTGGGATCTTTTTGTAGGGATCTCTTGACAAAATTTGTAAATTCTTCAGATTCATAAGAGAGAAATGATATTCTCATTGAATTTCAGCATCCTAAAGGTGTAATGTCTGATTTATTTTTTTCCCTCACTTAAATATAGTCACTTGCAAGCTTTTTTAAATCTCATGCCATAGAATTCTATTCAAACTTTTAGAGTTCAGGATGGATATCAAGATTCATCTAAAAATGTCACAATTTCTTTTATCTCAAATTTGTGGAAATTTACGAAATTTGAAAAATTCCCATCCATAAAACCTTGTCTAAAATTCTCCCTGTTTGCAAAACACCTTCTTCCTCCTCGAAAGGACACCCTGGTCTCCTTTGCTATAGTATTCTTTTCGCATATATATATATATATATGCTTAAATTGAAGTCTCTTTTAGGTTTTCCTAATGAGTGTTTTGCGTCTCCTAAGATTTTTTAACAAGAGTTTCTTTTCTTTTAAATCCTTCTAGTGAAAATTCTTTTCTCCTCTCCTAGGATTTCTTTATAGTAGTTTCTTTTTATTGCTTTTGGTTAGATATGAGAAATCAAACTTTTTGAATTTAGCAATTTTGAGACCTCTTTTGTCACATTTAAGCTTTTTCTTTGAAATTGAAACAGTTACACATCAGAATTTAAAACTTGAAAAATATAAAATAATTATGATATCATGCTGATATCAGCGAGTTTTTCTGAACAGTCCGAGACGACCGATCAGTTGACCTGTGATCCACTAATTTAGTCAAATCGCTATTCGATCCGAGTTTAATAACATTGTATCAGATACGAAGATCCGACTACTGAAACCCATTTTCTTGTTCAAGAGCCAAACGCACCTTTAGTGATAAGGCGCCAATAGTCGTTGGTGTCTGACTAGTAGAGAGAATCTACGAGTTGCCGTTTTCCAACTAAAAAAAAAAAAGACTAGTGGCTGGCATCTGAATCTGAATGGTTGGATAAAGGTGGTTTATCTTGCGTTTTGATTTGGTCACAGGTATTTCATTATGACCTCCTGCCCTTTTTGTACTTTCCTTATCCGATTCCCATAAGTGCTGTCTGCCGTCAATATTTTATTGTGAATGCTGACGGCGCCAGTTCTCCTGATTCCGCCCCACATTTTGCTTCATAAAGTACAAGGAAAAGAGAAACGTAACCGCTGGAATTTGGGGCCACCGGGTTTGGGCAAGTTGGGGTATTTTAATTTCCAGATTTGCGCATTAAGCGAAAGTTGTCGACACGTTTTTAACAAACGTCGTGCCACACCGACGACATATGCGGGTAGTATTAATTTTTATTTATTGTAGTCCTAGGTAATGAAAATTCGTATCATATCGATATAATACACGTTTTTAAGAAGATTTAGAAAAATCTTTGAATTTTGCATATTTAAAAGTATTTTGGATGATATTCGTACTATTCAACTAATCCCATAAATTAAGTAATGAATTTTTGGCGTATTATACTTCATGAATAATACTTCAACTTTTGAAACAGCTTATAATTTTGTGGAAGGATGATAGCATATCTTCTGAGTTATATACAATTAGCAACAATGTAGATCATGATTTTTTTTTTTTTATAAATTTATACATATAAAACGAATACGATCATAAAGTGTTAATCAATTTAATGTCTTATATTGATTTGTGATAATTGCTAAAACATATTTATAAACTTTTAGTTCTGTAAATTTTAAAATGTATTCGCACTATTTAGGTATAGATATTATAGCAGCAACTTTTAGTCGTTCTTCTGAAAAAAAAAAAAAATTCGTATAGTATGTGAACTGATAATACGCTGTGTTATGCACATACTTATTTTACTATGTTTTGAATTTGTAGTATAACTTTATGCTTCATTTTCGTGGATGCCTTCTGAGGTGTTATTTATGAAATTGTAACGATAATACTTTTTATATGTACGTGGATAAATGTGAGACAAAAAAATTGATTAAAAACACGTTTAAAATTTATCACAAAGATGGCCTTGTTTGGCAACCAAACTTTTTGCCAAGTTTATTTGCTACAAGTTTTTTAAAAACTTTAGCTATAGTAATCTCAAAAAACTTCTCAGAGTTTTTAAACTATACACTTCAAAATTTTTTTTAAAAACTTCTGTAGTAAGTTACGGTAAAATTTTAGACAAACACCCAAAAAACTCACTAGCCAAATAAAAAACTTAGCCATTCAAACAAAGCCTAATTTTTCCTCTTATCCCCAAACTAGCTAGTATCGTTATATACTGAGTGAGTGGAAACTAGACAAGCAACTTTTCGTACTAGAAAAAACATGTAGATTCAACACCTAAAACTTATTCATATTTCACACTTTGATTTGATAATTTTCTATGTTACGCGATACGAGAAATTGTTAACATTTCACTTCATCATAGCCTAGCTTTGCATGCACGTATATTTCTAAGATATAGAATTGTAAATTATTCAAATATAAGTTTTTTTATTCAAATATAAGTGCTCTTATATATTTTCTAATAAAATAATTATTCTAATGTTGGACTTGCTAGCAAGTTGAATGATGAATTTGTCAAGTCTGGGATGATCCGAGTTGACCGCCAATGAATTACGGTGTTGATGTTGATGCCAATCCAATTCTTGATCTGCCCATGGGACGATTTGCTTTGTCATTGTCAAAACACTAGAAAATTCAAGAGTACTTGTGATCAGAAATTTTTCAAGAGTCACAAGTCCATTTCACAGGGAAAGGATTTCTTGGATGGTTGTCCACTTCTTACATAGCATTATTGCACACAACGGAAAAGTGACCTCTCTAATTAATTAGTGATCAGCTTAATTTCATCATTAATGTACTAGCAAAATGAGGCGTGGAATGCGGGTGTAAAGTATAACGAGAACTATGTGCTCCTCGATCTCCATTGATTGGAGAAGATTTTCCCTCCGTCGCACCAAAATAAACATAATTATTGTATTATTTTTGAAAATAAAAACCATCCATATTATATTTCTCTAGTTGTTTAAAGAATATGCAAAAAATTGAAATTAAATTGAGTAAATTTTACAACTTTCATCACAATGTCTTGTGCAATTGAATGACAAAACATCCATATGAGCTTGAATTTTGAGTACGGTGATCTACTTGTGGAAATAAAATTGTTGACACTAGCAGATCATTGTGAAAAAATTCAGTTGTATAGATTAAAAAAATAAATAGAGAGAAAAGTAACGGAGGGAATCGATTTTGTTTCCACCATTATTCAGCCGATTAGTTCGAGTACATTGTTGTGCATTGGTGTGCGTCGGTTCTTTTGTCAGTTATAAAAAGCAAAAGTAGTCTTTTGGGGTCTGAAGTTGGTGTTGTTCGGCTAGAATCGCTGGCAATAATTGGTTAAACATGTACCGCATCCAACAAATCTCACGTGTCATTTTAAATAATAATGGTTTATTATATTTGATTAGTATTAGTTTAGTTGATTACATTTGATTTAAATGATTACTATTAGATCAGTAGTTTATTACATTTAATTAATGTTAATTTATTACACTTGATTAGTATTTAAATTAGTTTAATTAGTATTAATTATATTACATCTTCTGTCGGTGGATTAATTGAATGTCAAACCAGAAATAGTAACGGGAAGCGAGAGTACAAGTAAAAGTAAATAATAATAGGAATAGTAATAGTAACAAATTTGAAGTCAGTAATCACCAATTCCCGCTTGCTTTCGCACTTGTGGACGAGGAGACTAACTGAAGTTGGGCATGTTTCATGTCGCGGTTGTGACATCACGTGTAATGAAATGTCAAGAACATGTGCATAATTTCGGATCAGTACAAGGGGATAATGCACGCGATGAAGACCTTTCAACACTGGAAGGAACTGATGGCTATGCATCGATCTTGTTTGGTACATGTGCAAAGCAATTTCACACAGAAATTTAGAAATTAGAGGTATGAATTAAATTCTTTGTGCCGTTCATTAGATTAATCCATGTTATGAACGGAGTTTAAATGTTTTTGCACTTTTTTTTGACTTAAGGATCTCGCATGGATCGTCGAGACTGCAAATCAAGCCAAGAAGTACGAAACATTCATGAAACAGATTTGGCTGTTAAATAATGTGGCATACAATTGACTAAACGGCGGATCAGTTAAACCAGAGCAATGGGCATTGTTGTGCAAGGATATGGGAGATACTAATGGAGTCACACGTCTATGAATATAGCAAAGTGTTTCAATAACCTGTTACTCAATGCTCGATTATTACCAATCACAACTTGGGTACAGTTCACTTTCAACCAAAATGTTGAGCTTTTCACAAAGAAACAGAAGAACGCCTTCAGTACGATATATCCCTTCCCCAAGAAAATATGGAAACAGTTCTTAGCAGATCGATGAGTTTAGGGCAAGGACACGCTCAGTGTAAATCTACGATCGCAGAAACTGAATTTACTAATAACAATGGGTTGACGCGATAATAGGAAGGGGGCAACGCGCAGATTGTCCACTTTCAGAATCACACATGTACATGTGACAAGCAGACAGAACTTCGATTCTCATGCTTACACATTATTGCATCTTGTTATTGATTGGGAACAATAAATCCGTACTATCTAGTTGGTTCCGCACACACATTTCAAGAATGGAAGCATCTTTGCAGGAGCAATTTTTCCTTTTGAGGGACACAGCTTATTGGGCCACTGCAGATTTACAATTTAATTATGATTTTGCCAAGATCAATCAAAAGAGACCCAGCCTTAAAGGCCATAGCCAAAATACATAACCATATGGATTGTCAATACTCGAATGCACCTTGTCGCTACAGTCATTGTTTGCAGACGGGATACAATGACTCCAATTATCCTTACTCTAGCTATTTTCAGATGTAGTAGAGGATTGTAGAACATTTCAAACATAAGTTGTGCCTATGCATGATCGTTATACAAACTCTAGCCGCACAAAAGAGACCTAAAAGATAACTGATGCATCATCAGTTCCCAAGAAAATGCTATTTATTCGAACTCCCCTTCTCTTCTTCTTTTAAATGTGAAATAACAACAGCAGATACATTTTCTTCTCCATCAGATAGAAAATATGGAAAATGAATCACGGCTATCAGTTCATCATACGCAAAAATAGTTCATCACTGTTAAAAGAAACAATGAACATTAAATAAGATACCATATGAGGGTCTAATAAGCCATTCTCCCAAGGCTTTTTCGCAGAATCATAATATACACCGTGGTATACTTGTACTTCAGTTGCTTTCAGAATCTCGGATTCTCCGAATGTAGAAAACTGAATACTTTCTCTGTTCACAAATTTCCGCAAAAAAAAAAGTAAAGAAATTATCGAACACGTTGGAATTTCACTTATTTAAGATTTAACCCCAAAAAAAAAATAGAGCAATAGCAGTAGAGATCAGTTACATTTTGCGGGGGCCGACATCTTCAATGTAGGGCTGTTTTGTGAATTGAATCGGAGCTTGCGCTATCCTCGTCATTTTTCCTAATGTTTGCTAATTTACGCAGAAAAACTGAGGTTTAAGAATTAGGCGGGAGGGTTTTAGAGTTTCTCAGCGGTTGCAGAATTGATAAATAAAGCTGGCAGAGGCAGCATATAAAGTCAATAGCTGAACTAAAAATTTGTGCGAACGGTTGACCTAGTTTTCAAGACGGTGTGCTGGTGGAGTGAGAACGTTGCGAGGTTCGATTAGCTCTATTTTCCTTCGTCGAAGGCGGTTGCGAGATCGAGTCTAACAAACGGAATTGCCTTAAATATGTTATTCTTATTTTCCTCACCCTCCTTTTAAGCAAATAGAAAGATAAAAGGACTTTGTACCAAAAATAGCTAATGGATTTTCTAAATTTTTGTGTTCATTTTAATCCTTGATATTGAAATTTTATGGAAGTTTAATATGTAAGGAGTTTAGATGCCTTTTAACCCTCCAAAGAGTAAATCTAATGCTCGCTTTCTTTAGAGAAAATAACAGGAATATTAAGAGGAGAAAAAAAATAAGAATTCAAGATGAAAATTGAGGAGGAAGTTTTCTAATAGTAGCTTTCTTTAGATAAAATAATAAGAATTTCAAGATGAAAAGAGATGAGGAAGGTATCAATGTAAGATTTTGAGTAAATGGAAAACATGAAACACGATAAATGTGTAATTTAAAGTAAATAAACACAAGCATACACCTTTGTATTTTTTTAAAACTTTGTGTAAGTAAGATATACAACTTTATTTTCAAAACTTCTCATTCATAATCTCTTCTATCTTATCATTCAACCAAACATTCCCTTCATACGTTGTATATTCAGTCCATTCATAACTACAAAATTAACGTTGTTACATTACGAATAGGAGAAAAGTAATAACATTTTTTAAGATACATGTTATCTATTATTTTGTAAGAAAGTTGAAAACAGTTTTATATTTATTATTGAGAAGAATGACCAATTGACATGATATAATTGAAAATTTTCCCTTTCTCCCCCTTTGGTTTGTGTTTTAATTTTTCTCCATTTTGTAAGGGTGAAGTTTAGAAGATAATTCAACACAAATTTATATTTTATTCTGTATCTTATAATATGTGATGCTAACATGAAATTAAGCAAGATATCAGTATTACTTGTTATTACTCAAGTATATTCCATCAAGAGAATCCTAAATCAATTGTTATATGTAAATATGTATCACATTCATGTTTGTACGTATGACAACGTATACTTTTTTTTTTTTTTGAGGAAGACCGAAGATCTCGTGTACATTTCAATGGTCTTATCAAACTTGTACATGCTATTGACTCCTAAGTTTCCTATTTCCTATTTTTGCAGCGGGAAATTTATTTTAACATGTTACATTTTCATTCAGAAAAATTTTTGCCCTACTTTAGCAGTTCTTGTTTTAATGGGTCTGATCCGTTTGAGATTCCGGGCTTGGCTGAGGGTCCGAGAAACCAAATGTCATTGTCTTCGACCCCGTTTGATTTCACCTCCGAAAACCTAGCGGTGACAATTTTTGACACGACGCACGAATTTAACGCGAAATTAATGGATTTTAATTGAGGTCTTGCGGGTTCGGATCAAAATCGGGTCAAACCAGATGAATCTTGAAAAGAAAACGGGTCGAATTCGAATCAACCCGTAGGTGATCCGATAATCCGTTTATGAAGTAAAAATAATTTGATAAACATAAAAATTATTTTATCTAACTAAACTAAGTTATTCTTTTTTTCCAAAGACATTAATCACTTAATCTTAAATGAATTTATTTAACCTGTGTGAAGTTGAAATTGTTACATTTGAATAAATACTGTATTATATTATTTTTTACTTTTATATTATTTTTTTATTTTATATTTGATTTAGAATTATTTATTTAAAATTTTATTACTTGATTATGTAATTAATCTTGTGTGAAATTGGTTTTATAAAAAAATACAGTGATAAATTAAAAAATTAAAATTAAATTTTGAATCATTTCATATCGACTCGCTAATCCAATCCAAAATTTTCGAGTTCGAGTCAGCGGGATTTTCTATTATATCCAAGTCTCAACCCGACCCGTTAATCCGATTTGAACCGATCGCCACCCCGACGAAAACTCCTTAAACCCTAAATCGCAGCTGAATTAACCCCAAAAAGTATCAAAATAGTCAAATTTCAATGAAGACCGTCACAGGCCAAGTGGTATCAACAAAGCCAGTCTCTCTATCTTCAGCAGCCAAAAACCTCTCCGCCTTCGCCTCCCTAGAAGAGGAGAACGGAGCTTCCGATGCCGTCCGTGTGTATCTGAAACGCGCTTCTGATGCCTTCAACAGCTTGGTTCAATTCCACAAGGAGCTAAAAGCGCCCCATTTGAATTGCAAACATAAGGCATCTCAACCTCTTGTTGTTGATACAAAGATTGAAATTTTAGTCACCGTTGACAAAAACCCAGATGAAGAAAAGATCAAGAATGTGAAAAGTAAGGGCAAGCGGAAGAAAAATCGCGAATTAGAGGTAAATGATGAAGAACCGTTAAAGATTGAGAAGGATAAATGAGGGATTGATGAAGTTAACGCCGTGAAAAGGTCGGAAAAGAAGGGAAAACATAAGAAAAATCGCGAATTTGAGCCGAGCACTGAAGGCTTGTTGAAGATTGGCCAAGAAGCAGATAGGCTTGACAAAGTTAAGGTACAGAGAAGTTTGGACGAGAACAGAAAAGATAAGAGAACTGGCCAATCGGAGTTAAGGAATGAGGAGAGAAAACAGATTGAGCAAAGCCCTGATGGGGTTGGGGAGGAAAGGAAAAAGAAGAAACATGACAAGATTGTGAGAGGTGAAGATACAGAGAAAAGAGATGAGGGTAGGAATAAGGCTAAGCAAGAGATTGTGGAAGTTGAAAGGAACATTATTGATGGTGTTGAAGGTGAAAGTGTGAAGAGAAAGGATAAGAAGAAGAAAAAGAAGGATGAGGGTGAGGAGGATGGAGAAAATATTGGCAAAAAAGGAAAGAAAAATAGCCAATCGGAGGTGAGGAGTGAGCAGAGAGAACAGATTGAGCGAAGCCCTGACAGTGGGGTTGGGGAGGAAAGGAAAAAGAAGAAACAGGAGAAGATTGGGAGAGGTGAAGATAGAGAGGAAATAGATAAGGCTAAGAATAATACTAAGCAAGAGATTGTGGAAATTAAAAGAGACATGGATGGAGTTGAAGGTGTCAAGAGTAAGGATAAGAAGAAGAAGAGAAAAAAGAATGAGGGTAGAGATGATGGAGACAATGTTGGCAGCGAAAAAGGGAAGAAGAGGAAGAACAGGGAGGTTCATGGTGAAGAGAGGTGATTCTGCAAGCAGAGTGGAAAGAAGAAGAGGAAAAAGAGGAAAACTGAGGGGTTTGATGAATTATGAGCGATGGTATTAGTTTTACTTTCATTTTCTTCTTCTTGTGATTCACAGGTGACTGAGGGAAATTTTGCCTGTGCTACAATTCATGGGTCGAGATTTTGCAGCCTGACTTTGATTGTAATACTTGTTATTCATGTAATAGTAGAAAATTTTAAATTAGTTGCAATAGAAGAGTAATTTGCATTTCATGTTATATGATGATCTTTTGAGTAACCACACAAGGGACTTAAATCCTGGCTATATTGTGTTGATTGTCCAACTGAAAATTTATTTAATAAGATCTCAATTTGTGCTTTTGTGTGGTGCTGGATAACGTAATAAATAATAGGGATAATTTCGGAAACCTCCCATGAGCTTTCTGACATTTACACTTACCTCCCCTGTGATTTGAACAATTACACTGACCTCCCCTGAGGTTACTAATCCTTTTCAAATTCAGTCCAAATGATTAAAGTATTATTTTAGAGAGTGAAATTAGAATTTTGTACCTGATTTGTCTTTTGTGCCATATGTCCAATGAATGGCAAAGTATTACAAATTAATTAACAATTAATAAACTTTAATGAGCGTAGTTTATAGGCAAATACGTATTGCCTATTTAAAGTACCAGCTCTTTACATGTATTTTACTTTCAAACATTTACTTTATCATAAATATTTATTCTCAAATAAAGATTTGTATTTACTCTCAAATATTTAATTTTTGTTAAACACAAAACCTACTAGTTTTTCTTCAGTAGAAATATTAATATAACACTTTTTCAATTTAGTTATAAATATTTATGTATTTAACATAAATTAAATGATTCGGGATAAAATATCCATAAAGAGCCAATACTTTACTCATGTAATGGATAAAAGTCATAAAAAATTAATAGTTTATGAGGCCATTTATTTTTTAAAAAATATTTAATTTATATTAAATAGATAACCTACTGATTTTTTTTGCAAGAATATTACTTTAACACTTTTTAATTTTTAATTACAAATGTTAATATATTTATCATAAATTAAATATTTGAAAATAAAATATCTGTAAAGAACTGGTACTTTAAATAGGATATGCGTATTTACCTATAAACTACACTATTTAAAGTAAGGAGTATAGTTTATTGATTTAAGTTAAGGAGTGTAGTTTATTGATTTAAGTTAAGGAGTGTAGTTTATTGATTTAAGTAAGGAATGTAGTTTATAGGCAAATACGCATAACTTATTTAAAGTACCGGCTCTTTACAGGTATTTTATTTTTAAATATTTAATTTACAATAAATATATCAATATTTGTAATTAAAAATTAAAAGGTGTTACAATAATATTCTTGTAAAAAGAAAATCGATAGGTTATCTATTTAATATAAATTAAAATAAAAAAAAAATAAATGGCCTATAAAATGTTAATTTTTTATGATTTTCATCCATTACATGAGTAAAGTATTAGCTCTTTATGAGTATTTTATTCTGAATCATTTAATTTATGTTAAATACATAAATATTTGTAACTGAAATTGAAAAAATGTTATATTAATATTTCTACGGAAAAAAAACTGGTAGATTTTGTATTTAACAAAAATTAAATATTTGAGAGTAAATACAAATCTGTATTTGAGAATAAATATTTGTGATAAAGTAAATGTTTGAAAACAAAATTCATATAAAGAACTAGTACTTTAAATATGCAATACGTATTTGCCTATAAATTACGATCGTTAAAGTTTATTAATTGTTAATTGATTTGTAATACTTTACCATTCATTGGACATGTGACACAAAGGACAAATCAGGCACAAAATTCTAATTTCACTCTCTAAAATAATATTTTAATCATTTGAACTGAATTTGTAAAGGATTAGTAACCTTAGGGGAGGTCAGTGTAATTGTTCAAACCACAGAGGAGGTAAGTGTAAATGTCAGAAACCTCAGGGGAGGTTTCTGAAATTATCCCTAAATAATAATCAGACAATAAAACAAAAGCAATAGCATAACAGAGCCTGGCATTGCTATTGGTGGAGTTAGATATCTTGTTGAAGTTCTCAACTTGAGAAAGTTGCTTCAACTTCCACGTGAATCTTAGATGTATTTTACCCGTTTCTTTCCATATTTTTCGCTTATATTGTGATTGAGATCTTGAAAGAATCAAGACAACATTGTTTGTTTCTGCAGATTGTCTATATTATTTGGAACTATTAGACAATTATGAGGTCGTTCAAATCACATACCAAGGATCATACTGTGTTTGCATGGTTAAACATGGACTCCCGTTTTGAGAAAGCTAGAGTCCACTAAACTCTTATGAAGTCTACTATTCTATAATCCTCAATCTTTTCTGTTTAAGAGGAGAAAAATGGGCCAAAGAACATGCGCAGCAATCCGCAAGGTTAATGCTCGCTCAGAAAATTCTGTCCAGTTCCTTCAACATTGATGTCGTCTTGAGAAATTACGATCATTTTTGCACATTTGTAGCACAACATACTGGTCTCACCACGAAAACAAGTTTAGGACAGGATTGGGTCCAACCCATAATTCAGCTCCACCTGCTGCACTCTGCAAGCAATGTAAAATTAAGAAATTTAAGAAAACGGGAACAAAAAGAGACACATGTCTGAGGCTGGTAGAGAATACACAAGGCTCAATTCAGAATATCACGTAGCACAAAGTTTCCTTTCATAGAGGTTCGGAAACTATCAGCAACAATGAAACTACATAAATAAGTTAGAAGGTCAGAAAGTACCATCAAGTCAAAAGAGAAACACATACTTAACAACACCAGATAGTAAGAGTCAGGGTTCCAAACGAACCAAGCTGCTTGCATAGAGCTTTAAAAGAAACCTTAATTGGATAAAATTTTCTTAGCTCAGGCTTGAGGTGCTCATGTAATAATTTGCATTGAACTCAAATTCGATAGTAATAGCAAAAATCAAGGATGTACGAATCAAGCTTGTATTTGAATCAATAAGCGAACAACATGCACTCTATTTCCAAGTTACAAACTTGTTTTGCTCTTTCCTTTTGCACTCCTCATTGTTGTCATGTTGTAGCTTAGTACCGCCATTGACTACAATTAAAGTATTTAGTATAAAGTCAACCTAGATTCTTACTCAAAAGTCAACCTTTTTCATCATTATACCACCTAAACACTTCCCTGGCAGATACTATTCTCCCCCTCAAATTCATTACCATCATAACAGTAACTGTTAAGTTCTCTAAGTTTAACAAGCTCAGTCAAATATCATAAAAACCTCAGCAGACCATAGCTGAATATCTGTGGCATTCATCTTTATGATTTTCTACCACCCAGAAGATAAGCCACATGCATTAAGGGTTAAAGACAAACTTATTAAACCCAAAAAAAAAAAAAATCAATTCAAATGACAGCCAATTGCCAAGCATGTACCTTTGCCTCACTTTAAGCATCCCAGTGCCTAACTGCATTGGTATTCCCATAATGATGCATTCACTTACTCCTTCAATCTTATCATCCCGTCCATTTACAGAAGCATTGAAAAGGTGATCTGCTGTCTTCTCAAAAGAAGCCAGCATTAGCACACTATCTTTCATTTTCTGAACACCATGTCTTGTAATACCAAGAACTTCGCCCTGGCATCAATGCGATAGTACATAAAATTAGCATCTGATGGTAAATGCCACACTTAGTGTTGGAACATGAATATGTCCATGATGCAAGTCTGAAACGATCACTATAGACTTATGAAGAAGGAACTACCTTAAATGTCATCAGATCTGCCAGAAGCATCATATGACGTATGTCTATAGTCATTCCATGACTAGACATGGTATGCTTAATTTCATCAATTATCGAACTTCTTGCAGCTTCAATTCCAAGCGTCTGCTGCACTTCCATGATGTGATTGCTTTTGGTTTCATAGCCATTTACTCCTTCAGTGCCCATTACACCTAGGAGACCTGTCCTGCAAGAAGCAGATATGCATAACTTGTGAATACAGCTTGAAAATTTTGAATATCATATCCATCAATAGTAGTTTGACAATTTTCCATGTCAAGTAGAAACCAATCACCACAAAGACCATCAATTGAAGTAATTAATTACACCATTGCCATTGATATCTGATAGGATAAATGAAGTTGCTTCTTCTGCTTTGTCATTTGAAAGTACCTGTACAAATTATCTGCTTATAGTAATACAATTGAAAAGCTACGCATATTACTACACAACAATATTATAACTAGAAGAAAATATTTATTTCAACGAGAAAGGCACAGAAGGATGACATATTTGATAAACAAGAGGACCATCATTTACTTCAATACCAAAACTTTCTGCAAAAGATCACCATAACAGAACTTACCCTTCTGCAAACAAGAGGTACTTGGGACCTCCTCCAGAATCCTTCTTCTCTTCACTATTAATTACGACACGTTCAATAGTGGTGATTCCCTGTCATTTCCAAAGATAATGGACAAACTTAGAGTGACACAAGTTTCAACATTCCATAGTGCAAGAAAAATACCCTTGCACTTTCTTACATTATATGATGACTTTCAAAACTAGATGTCTTGTCTTACTGTGACAACCACTGAAGGAAGCTTGTTCTTGAGTGTGTGGAGCTCAAAGTGAAGTTTACTTCTGTCAGTCTGGGGAACTACTTCCAGCTTTCTGGAATTCAAGACCTTAACATGCTGCAGAAACCGTACATTTTTTTTTTTTGAGCAAATATATGAGAAAGTAGATGATCTAAATGAGAAAATGATAGTACACCTGATCCTTCAGTTTGATTCTTGGTGTCTGCAGAATCGATTCTTTCACTCTATAAGCATCTGTACAAAGCCGAGATGCTTGTATTATTTCCATATCAAGTGTAATTACTATGGATGCTAACCTCGCCGACATGACAATCTTTATACTTTTGGCTACCTACACGTTAAAGAGAAAGTCAGAATGATACAAACAGAATAAAGCCATATCTTAGACAATCTTTTGGATACAAGCAGAATAAACAATCTTTTGGATACAAACAGCATGATATCTTAGCTGCAGATTAAAGCCATATGCCATTTTTTTCAAAAAAAAAAAAAACAGAGAGAGAGAAGATTGGAATAGGTTCTTTAGGAGAGATGATTTAAAAGCCTTAAATATGGCCATTTCGTCAAGACTGTGTCACCCCATGTCTACATTAAAATGCTGTCACTATTACAAATGAAACACCAATGCATCCCTTATTACACGCTTGGTAGATCACTAAGTTGAAGGTAGTCAGAAACAGCTGACCTGCCCTAAAAGTGTTTTCTCTATACGAGCTTTTGCAAGGCTAGCCTCCTTTGCATTGTCCTCATGCTCCAGTTTTGCAGAAATGATTGGAGTACTAATCCTTTTAGCTGCATTTATAATTTCTTTTATACGTGGGACTCCAAGTGTAACATCTAAGGCAGAGTTAAGGTAACATATGAAACACCTGTAAGACGAATATCACACCAAAAATTATACTAAGCAACTAGTGAGGATACTCATGCTTGCAACTCCAGCAAAGTGAAAAGTTTTTAGCGTCATCTGTGTGCCTGGTTCTCCAATACTCTGAGCTCCAATTGCACCAATTGCAGTTCCAGCTTCTACCCTTTTGGTATGATAACGTGAGATGCAGACTCTTAAAAACACCTAACACATTAACAAAATACAAGTCCTGTTACATTATGAAAACTTGTTTAACTTCTGGAAACTACATGCCTAATGAGAACTACTTAGACACAAGCTCACAACCTTTCATAACATGCTCAATAGTTTGTGAACAATGAGATCTGAAAATTTTTTGCTCAAGAAAAGAAAACGTGAATAAAAATCTAAACTTCAGAATGCTTTATTACACACACAAAAAAAAGGCAGAAACAAACATTAGACGTCTACCAGGTATATACCCGAAACTAGAAAACAGTAATCTTACAAGCTAAGAAGATTTTTGTGGCGTTAATATATATACATGCTTTGTTCACTAGAACAAGCAAATGCAAGAGAACATGAATCATAATTTACCCAATCAGAAGAAACAAGAATTTGTCCACATAATGTCAAATTTTTAGAACAATTAGTGACAGTTCATACAAAATTCTGTGTATGATGGGACCAAAAATAAATCAAGCAATTGAAATGATCGTCAACATCCCAAGATCACCCAAACAGAGACAGTCCTTTCGTGCACTTGATGGTAATTCACTAAGAGAAACTTCCAGTTTTGAAGCCAAAACACATGTCCTGGCTGTAGCAAGTGACCTAATAATGATAGCATCATGATGATATCAATTAATGATTATTGCAACAATAAAAAATTTAGAAAAATAATGAACACATTGAAAGGTTAATAATGCAAGCAGGACGGCCAGCAAGAATGCATAGAAATGTATTCAGGTAGTTGAATTGTAAGATGTATATCAGAAAAGAACATTTAGTATCAGGTTTCACCTCCAGCTGCCTAGAAGTAAAGCCGGATATATTTGAAGAGATATTTTCGAAAGAGCTGTTATGGTCTTCTTCCTGGGCTTTCAAACTTTCAATTGTTTTTTCCAAGTTTTGAACACATTTGACTTTAAGGAACTTGGACAAAGAGTCTCTGAAAGCCTCTGAGCACCCGCCTTCGGGAGTCGTATCACGTTCTGAGAGCCTTTCATCAGTCTTTTTGCAGATATCCGATGGGGACAAGCTCTTCTGATCACCGGCAGGACAGGTGGCCTGTCAATGGAAATAAACGAGTATAAGAGGATCTGGTTTTACTTTCATGGCACCAGGTATAAGAGATCTCAAGATGTGAATACACAACCTTCACTTTCATAAGTAATCTGTCAAAGTTCAGAGGATGTCCACTCTTCTCTTCCATTTGTGAGGGATCCATGCCATCATCACCATAAACAAATTGAACTATACAAGAACTAGCATTTCGGACAGTGTTGTCATATTGAATTGAAAGGTCCTCCAAAGCTTTCATGAGTCTACGAGACATGTATCCAGTATCAGCAGTTTTAACCTATAATAATATAAAATTGAAGCCCAAGCATCATAATTTTGCAGACTGCAAGATTTTGAAGGATCACATTAGTTGAAGAATTTTGCCAAATTATCACATTGTATTCAAAGAAAATCCCAAAATCAACAGTTTAATCAGTGACAAGATATGACATTGTAGAACATCTCAGAACTGCAAAAACGGATAAGAGTTCTAAAGTGAGAAGAGTAAGGAAACATGTAAGCAAGACAAATGTTCAAAACCCTATGATATTTAACTTCATGTGCCTTCAAGATTGTCCAGAGGAAGCTTACAATCAATACTAAACAACCTTTTCTAGATTTTCAACAATTATCCTGAAACAACGTACATAAAATTTAACTTCGACAGATTTTCTAGAAATCTGATTGTGAATCTGCAGTCCATTTCACACCAAAAATAGAAGATGTAGCAGTAGACATTTATACACTAATTCCCCAAAACAAACTAACCAACAGACACTAAACCAAAGTATAAACACTCAGCAATTATCCTTTTTTCTAAGCACGATAAAGAGTTATCAAACTGTTTTAGAACACAAAACAAAGAGTACCATGCTTTTGAGTGCCACAAATAGTTCTGAAAAACTTTATCATTTACTTGAGTAAGTGAAAAGGATGTAAATAAGCAGAAAAGATAGAAAATAGTACTTTTGCTTATGGAAGAAAAAGAAAGGAATTAACAATCCAACCGAGATCATGGAAAGAATAAATTTCAAAAAGTTATGTGGCTGAAAAACTCAGAACAACCAGAATTGAGGATGCAGTATTAGACAATAAGATGAAGGGAAAATCTCAGGCTGCACTAACAGGAATATAAACGCATTACAAATAAAGCTTCTGTGTACAGCACAAAAACCTCTGGAACAAAACCTTGGCAGGAAAGAAAGACAACCAGAAGGTCTTCAGGAAAAAGACAAAATATATATATATATATATATATATATATATATATATATAGTACTAGCAGATCAATACTAACCTCTACAACATTGCTAAGTCAATACTTTTGCAAGTTCAATACATAATTAAATGGAAAAGAAAAAATGAAAAAAGGAAATCGCAATCAAGGACCCAAAAAATAAACAAACACATAAATAAAGAAAAGGTGTAAACATTTGTAATTTAACTAGGCAACTGTGTAAAGGGAAAAAAAAAAGATCATACATACCGCTGTATCCACAAGGCCTTCCCTTCCTCCCATTGTGTGAAAAAAGAATTCTGTAGCACTTAAACCACTATAAAATGAATTTGCCACAAACCCTCTCGCCTGAAAGAAATATTAGATGAACTTAAGTATTAGATTCAAAGTGGAACACCAAATGAGAAAATGTAAGAATAGAATAAAAATGCATCTTTTCAAGTAATCAATGGTAGTAACTCATCAAGACATCTTTAGGATAACACCCAACACGATAACAAATTTTAGATTTTGATGATCAATTAACAAAACATTAATGAGAAGCATAAAATCTCAAGAGATAAGTAGACAACTATGATGAGTTTTATCCGACACTTATAATTATTCCACATTATGACAATTCTTATGACTGTTGATCGTGTTAGGAAAGGACACAAGATAAACCCAGAATGAACAAGACTGAAACATAGTCTGCAGATCAGCAGCTCAAACAACAATAGGACAGGTAATGGAGACTATGCAATAATTAAAAAAGGCACGAAAAGAAGTACATAGTATTATTTATCCAAGTCTCACTCCACATTGTAACATGCACAGTCCAACATAACTGGTTAAACTAAGTGCAATTGACTTGTGGACAATTTTATATTGGCTATCAATAAAATTTAAAGCTTTAAACACTTGTGGCAATCACCAGAAAAGACATTTAATTTATCTTAAGACAGACAAATTTCAATCGGCTCAAAAGTTACATATCGCCAAAAGAAAATGCCCAGGATAAAAAAGCCAGAAAGCTACCACAGGAACCAACCAATCATTTCAACAAAAAAGACGTGATCCCAATCTTTACCCCAATGAAATCTATGGCCCTAATCCTATTCAAAATTCAACAATATATGAAAGAACTCTCAAGACTTCATAAACTAAGCTGCAAAATGATATGATATCATTTGGAAACTAACAATGATATCACCACTCCTCCCGCAGATTCTAAAGTATTAAACCATATGCTGATACACATAATATATGATACATGAAAGATTCTTAATCACAAGGTAAGAGAAATTAAGTTATGTTGCAGAATGTATTTCAGATCTCTAAACACTAAATCAATTTTTCCCCCTCAAATGCATACCCCTTTCTCTTCCCACTACATGATATTCCCCGTTAAATCCACACAGAGTCATCCATCCATGACTCCACCTTCAATCCCTTCTTCTTTTTCCCCTCTTCCTAGTCCAAGACTTCTGCTGACAGATGAACTTTGGTGCAGACCAGAAAAATTTATCCAGATGAAATAAATGAACAAACCTTCGGGATCTTTGACTTTCTGGGAAAATGAGGAAGGCTGCGATCAATGAAACCATTTGGTGCCCGACGACCCCCGACAGATTGTTGTCCAACACATGCAACCATCTGACTGATATTTATAGGAGATCCCTTTGAACCACATTGTGACATAATTAGAGGACTATTCCTCCACTGCAGACACGTCAAACATTCCTACAAAAAGTTTCAAATCATTAAAAAGGCTTGATCATTATATGGAGAAACAATACATAAAATCTAAAGGGGAAATAAGAAGTCACAAAAGGCAATACATTAGAAAAATATAAATCTATCACAGATAATCATAGTGACTTCAACCTGTGTGAGATCCATAACCAAGTCAGTAGAACAGTACAAAAATAAGAAAGAGCTGCAGCAGAAGAGAGACTAATATCCTTTGACAAGACACAGAACCACATTTTATCATTGATCTCTAGCCAGATTCCTTTCTGATCCCCTAATGTTCTTCCATCATGTAGTCTAACTTATGTAATGTTCTGACTTGTCCAGTCATTTCCTTCATTTAACCTTTTACACAGACAGCTATTGCAGATAATGGCTCTTTCCCCAAAGGCAAACAAGACAGAAACAGTACATATGCATGTGCACATATTCAATGCAGAAAGAAAGATATTTGGTGACGACTTAAAGTTTGATATTTTCTATCAGTTTGTCCAACTCTGCCAATTTAAGTTACTACTCAGATGACCCAGCCAATGATAAATTCTAGAATAGTAATTAAAAATAAGGAGCTGATAATGGCATAAAGAAGTTTGTGTTGAAATGCACAAGGTAATCATGGACAACTGGCAATTAAATCCTCCTCAACATTGGGGGAAGAAAACGGATGCCTTCACTTCACTTCTATTTGTGCCTTGTTGGTCTTAGCTAGTCAGTCTGTAAGTTATAAGATGTCTCTGGAGGGTTAAGTTAGAGGAAAGTAAAGAAGACCAGTAAGAGAGGTTTGCTGCCAATGGCAAAAGCTGGACAATCTATGCCACCCATAAAGCAGGATAAGGTCAGGGACAAGGTCACAGGCTGGCAAAAGAATGAGGAATCACTTGGTATATCTTCCCTGACCCATTCTTAGTTGTTCACTGGTACTTTCAGATCAGAGATATGCAAGCAGTGCTACAACAGGGTAAAAACAGGAAGTACCTTGGCAGCAATATCTCGAATGTCATTTAGAACTTTTGTTATTTTAGCTTCAAGTGTCAGTGCAGCATCATGACCTGGCTGCAGCTCAAGCGCACCCTTGTTATACTTCTCTATTAATTCATCACACATTGCATATCCTGTGGAAATTTTTTCATCCCTTGCAGTAATTAGACGATCAGGTGGTTGCACATCATCAATGCCGATAGAAAATCCATGATTCCCTATCCATCTTGCACTGCAAATGACATTTTAAATGAAAAATGAATATAATACTCATTGCGTAGAGCTACTTTGAATCTGTGACAGAAATTTAAGTCCTGAGAAAGTGTCCAGATAAAGGAGCAAATATAATAGACTTCAAGAGCAATTGTATCACACAATAAGCTGTCAGCCTCACATGAAAGACACTACAATCCATCTTAACAACCCAAAATAGCATTGTTCATCAATTAGCATAGCAATGAATACAAGTACAAAAGGTAAATTAAAATCCAGCATATCGAACCATAAAGCACTCAACATATATGGGCAAAACAAAGTACAGGAATTGCAAAATAATTTTCCAAAGAACCTAAAAGATCAGTAAGTGGGCAATAGCTATCCTTAAGCAGTAGACAAGATGAAAAGACTCTAAAGTTCTGTTAGAATAGGCAGATCGAAATTTATGCGAGGATTTAAAAGAAATGGACTTGAAATCCAGCGTGCTCAAATTCGTATTCCACAAAGAACCTAAAATTAATGTCCAAACTTGGTATGATAAATAACTTCAGTTTCAGGTTCAAGTAATTCAATCAAATTAGATATTGCCTTCTTTTTTTATTTTTGGAGTTGGGGTTGGTTTTGGGGCTTGGGCGTGTAAAAGAGTGGCTAAAATATTGCTGATGGTGGTTGACTAGGGAAGTAAAGAAAAGACTGGCCTTCATTGGACAACATGATTTTGAATTCCAAGAGCCAGTCGCGCAAGATGTATGGAAAGATCTCTGAACATCCCCCCAAAAGAAAGACAAGAATATTAAGGATGTTTACTTCCAAGTTAAAAAAAAAAAAACTGCCACCAAGAGATCATAAAGAGGGTTAAAAGTGAACAGATACATAGAAAAATATGAAGCCCGTCTAGAGTAGGGGGTTAAGTAAATTTAAGATAGAGATACATTCAGCAGTTATGGAGCTCCCGTATGCCCATCGTCGATGCAATATTTAGTTACAGATCTCATTTTGTTCTGGAGAAGTACAAGGAGCTTGGTTCAAAGCACTTTTTAAGTGGTAGATTTTCATTAGATCATGAGGCTAAAGATGGAAGTTAGCCTGATCAGGTACTGTGCAGGAAGGTATCCTGATCACTTGTATCCAATAGAATTTGAAAATAACAAGACACGATTTATAGTTACTACAAAATTTTGCAGAGGTCAGGTAAGCCTGACCATAGAAAAACTATATGGATAAGAGTCCGGACAACTGACAAGTTTACTAGGAATCCATTGCTCAACACCTGGAAATTTAATAGTAAACCATATACAACAATCAATAGTTGAAAAGCATTGGATTATACAATCTTCTTAATAAATGAGCTTATAAATATTAAACTCTCTGAATTTTGTTTTTCAACAAAAACTGCAACTACCTATTATATTACTTGTAAGATATGGCAGAGAGTATACAGAGGAATATATGAAAAATTACAGGAGGTTTGCTTCTTAACAATTACATTATCAAAACAAAGTTCAAATCACATACATCAATAATTTAAAACAAATACCAAAATGAGTGGTTGGAAAGTATATGACACACTAATGTGTCTGTTCAATGAGAAACCTTATTAACAGACAATGTTGAGACACGAGGAAAAGGTTGGTTGCCAGTCAAAAGCCACTACTAACATACCTCAACTTTGCTAAGCGATTCATACATACTGAAGCAGCATGTGATTTATAGTCCCTTAGGAGGACCGAATAAAGACCATCCTTGTTCCCATTCCCTGTTCCAATCACAAACATAAGTACTTCTTGTTCTGAGCTTTACATTTTAAGGCATCCAAAGCTACCAATAAACACAAAAAACAGCATATTGCAGAAATTAGAACTTAAATCTTTTCCAGCACACAAATGCAGAGCTACAGTTGTGCTTAAATACACAAGTTTCTTATCCTAATGAATTAAATTATTCTAGTGCGCTCTTTCTAAAGCCAAAAACATGAGGCAAAAGATGGATATACTAGCACAAATTGCATATACGGGACAAACAAATAATGTGATGCCATCCTCAGATAGCATATAAAGTTGTGATGCCACACTCTAAGTAGAATTTCTTTCTTTCTTTCTATCTTTGTTTTTAGATTATTACGTTAAGGAACATGAGAAGGTTAACAGACACTTTACACAGTAAAGTAACTTTTTTTTGACCTCTATCAGTATGAAAATAGAATGCAAGTTTAACTATTGCAATCTGATAGGAGCTAACTGAAATGTCATAAATCTCGGGAGAGGTGGTGAAATCATCCCTATTTTTTTCATTAACATATTAGACTATCTATTTGAGGATTAGAATCTATTCAGAAACTACTTGCTTTAGGATGGAATATCAAATGAAAACTGAGCTAAAATGAACATGATGCCCATTAAAGCCAGCTCTAAAAATCACATTTCATACTTTTTTGGTGAAAGTATGGGTTTTCTCGCTCACAGTATGAAAAGTTATAACAAACAGAAGAACATGCATAAACTTGATAAGGATTCCATTTTGTGTTTCAATCTTCTACATTCATATTTTTTGTGGAACTTTTTTTAAAAACATGATAAAGCAATAGTTCTCCAAAAAAAGCTTCATGACAACTTAATACATTTCAAGACGAAAAGATGACTTTCAGAATCATCCCTTCAAAAAGAAGGCATCAACCTTAAAACAATAAACCCAATCTTAGCCTTCAACTCTTCCACAACATGATATCAGCTCAAAAAAATCCAATAAAAGACCACAGATTAAATTAGAGGGACTTTTGTAAAATCTAAAGGCAAGTCTCATGATCACAAATTCATGCAGAGGTCAAAGTTTGTGGGTCATTTAGTATGCAAAACTGAAAATGCATCTCAACATAAAAGCCTGAATCTGAGGCAAAAAGTGGTATACTTTGACTCTGCAACATACTCTAATTAGGCTAAATAAGAAAACTTGGCAATTAACTTACAGGTTGCTCCCCATAAAACAAGTGCAAGAGAGAGAAAACATTAACAGCAGAAGCAACCCAAAATTCATAAAGTAGGCACGCATTATATTTTTGGAGTAAAGGAAAGAATCTCACCTAATGTAGCTTTTCCCAATTGTCCACTAATCAGCTCACTATTACGGAAGCAAACAAATCCATCATTCGGGCACATGGTTTCTTTGGGCTTTTGGTAATTCTTTTCAGCAACAGTTAGATTCACATAGACTTTCATTTTTGCAAATGGACGCAGTAGTACAGTGAACAATTGTTTACCGGTCCAAAGTTCAACTGGCTGCACAGGCAAAAATCATATATACAGTAACAGCACCAAGTGCAAGTAACAATACAACACCGTCCCCCCCCCCCACCAAAAACAACAAAAAAAAAGGCATAAAGAACCAACACTATAATTTCCCAAATCCTCCTACTTTCCAAACAGGGCACCTTATAATTTGAACAAGAAACTACAAGAACTAGCATGGTGCCCACTTGACAGGAAAAAACTAGGCCTCCAACTTGGAACTGAATATAAGAAGATCAACTACATTCTCTACCACTTTAGGGTTACTATTAGGCCATGATCATTTTTCAACCTAAAAGGTCTAAAGTAGTTAAGAATATTAACTTCATGCACGTTATAGGCAATTCATGAAATATGACTTAGTAAAAGAAAAAATGGTGTATTAAGAAACTTAAAGGTAAAAGGATCTGCTATTCCATCCAAAAGAATAAGAGGTGAATATATAGGTCAAAATAATAATAAAAAAGACATTATCAATCAAGTAGCAATTAGAGAATATAATTACATCAGTTTAACTAACCTTAAGTAGTGCAGGAGTTGGCAAATCAATCTGATCCATCCCATCCCCCATGTATGAACACATAAGTGAAAAAGAAGCACGATCATAAAATGTGTCCTTCCTTGTAATGAGAAATGAAGATGTCAAAAAGTCCTGTGTGGAAGCAACCAAAATCTCTCCATTTTTTGGAGTGCATAAATTGTTTTGCACCTGCAGAATTGTCAATAACATTTCAAAGAGAAAAGAAAATCACATACAAAACAAAAAGCTGAAAATGCAGCGATGAAATTCTACTAGCAATCGCGAGAAAAGATGTTCTAAAACTTGGTGCTAAATTAAATCTATAAATAAGGCATGAATAACTACTTACTCCCATCAACATTAGCGCCTCTGTGCGAGCCTCCTCTGTTTGAGGCACATGCATATTCATCTCATCACCATCAAAATCAGCATTATATGGGTTACAGACGGACTCATTAAATCTCAATGTTCGCCATGGCATTATTCTTGCCTGCCAATAAAAAAGGACAAATAAATTAAAAACTAAATAAGTACACTCTAATGCTTCAGTATTTATACTGCAGTAATTACCCTGTGACACATGATGGACATTCTATGCAGACTCGGTTGTCTGTTAAAGAGAATAACATCTCCATCTTCTAGATGACGATCAACTATGTAACCAAATTTCAATTCATCAGCATGACGCTTTCTAGAACTAAACTTCAATGATCTGCAGCATAATGGACAACAACATTTGTGAAATAAGGAAACATAAGACCTAGCCAACAAACAAAAAGGCCCCAACATACACACTCCTTACATCTCGGTACCATCTGGCTGCCTGATGTATTTTGCTCCAGGATACTTTTTAGGCCCATTTCGCACGCATTGCCTCAACTTCTCTATATTATGATAGGACACTCGCTCAGGATACGTTAAAATCTGAGCCATCAATATAGGAACCGCAACCTGGAAAAGAAAGCCTGTTAGATGAAATCAATCAAAAGGGACACAAACTGGTGTGGCTCTCACGCTGTAAGAAGGGCTAAATTACTTTTACCTTAATCACCTAGACAAGATATTCTCATGGTGTAAACCATCATCTTAAGTCAGAAACGAGTTAACTCAAACAACATACCTCCGTGATTTTCAAATTTGGGTCAGGAGATATAACAGTTCTTCCTGTATACTCAACACGTTTTCCTGATAGATTTCCACGAAATCTTCCTTGCTTCCCTTTCAGACGCTGGACAAAACCACTTAAAGGTTTGGTAGCTGGTGCAGATAAGGGAACTCCACGTACATCACTATTTATATATTGTGCAACCTCCACTTGCAGATCAATCCAACCATTCTAAACCAGGTGAAGAACAAATCACTAGAAGTGCATTAGAAGATATACTCAAAGACAGAAGTGATGTTACATTTGCAATGGCACAATACAATTAATTTTGTGACGTATTCCTGGACATTGAAAAAGAGAAGCAATGGAAGACCAAGAAACAATTTCATTTAGATTTATCCAAAAATACCACTATCACAGGAATGTAGAACACGATTCCCAGGAAATTTTGTAAATTCAAGTCTATATAAACAGTTCCATAACATGCAGTTAAATATTTACCCGACAAACCAAGAATTAGTTGCAGATGAAGAGATATCAAAGGGGCTTTAGAAGATGTAGGAGTGAAATCTTGCTATAATTCTCTATTTCAGGTATTCAGGGTGACCTTCTTAATAGATGAAATATTACTATTATGTCAATGCCAATTAAATCAATGATACTAGCTGCAAATTTTAACTTTTTGGCATTTTCAGTTTTTTCAGAAGGTATGATGGGCTTTGCTGGGAAGGAACTTGTTACACCATCGGACAGGGAAAGCAAGAAGCTGTGGTGTTGGTATAACCATGGGAATGAATGCAAACCACATAAAACAGGATAAAAGGCCCATAAATCTCTCCAAATGCATGGTAATACAAAATGATGAAATCCACAGATAGCATAGCACCCCCACATAACCAATAGGCATTGGAGATTTCAGTGAGATACACCCAATGCATTCAACTACAGTCAAGGGCATGCAGCAAAATGTTGACATCCCGAACAATAGTATCCACAATACAAGAATATAAATTAGCATATGATGGATTGGGTCAATGTAATCACTGAAACATGATAACATCCCCACGAAACATGCTTTGCCAAACACGAGGACAAATGAGCAATCAGATTTTCCAGTTGGGAGCAAAGAAAAGCATGTATAGTCTTTGTTTTCTTATGTTTCCTTTCGTTGATAGGGTTGGAGCAGTGCCTGTCATCTCATTGTGCAATTTTTCTTAATTTGAAGCACTTTTCTTTTCAAATTACACAACAATAAGAGAATCAATCAGAGTCAAAGATGATACTGCAGCCAGTCCTCTTTCTTTTCATCCTATTTTATGTAAGGAAAAAAAAGTTATTTGTGTTTACATTTCTAACAATCATTAGCATGCAGATTCAGAATTAAGAAAGACACAATAAAAACTCAAAAAGAAAAGTAAGCATAGAGAATAGTTATCAAAGATGTGTGACACAAATCTAGCAGACAAATAATTACAAAATGGATATGGAAGTAAATAACAAACCAAAGTCAGAGAATATAGAACTTGGGAAACAAAAATCATACCAAGCTTTTGGATGGAAGGCTTGTGTCTGATATTTCTTGACGAAGACTAGCATTAGCTTGGATAATGCGTTTTAGTCTCTCTGTAGTGTCATTCTCGTTACTGCACATATTAGTGATGTACAATGTCAATGTGCAGGCATTTAGCAGGATCCAAAAGATTTTTAATCCTCTTTTTTCGAAGAACCATAAATACATCTCCCAGAATATCATATAGAATTTTCCTCAAACATGCCAGCCATAAAATTTAATTGCATAAATTCTTCCACAACACTCCAAACTATGTGGCTCGAGCAGGAAAAAGAAAAATTCAATGCATCACTCTAGCTAGGATTTTATGCCAGCTCAACTATCAAAGTTCAAGTTTTCAACATTTGGTTTGTATACCAAGCCAAGATTCCTTGAAGCTTTTCAAGATCGATACTCCATGTTAGCATCCATATAGTACCAATTTTTTCATAATGCAACTAAGCTGATATAATAAACCTAGAACATAAGCCCAGAATATAAAGCTACATTATATACACTTAGTTAATTTAATAATTATGATTGACGACGCCTATGTTAATCAGTGACTTAAGTGAACTTAAAATCCCCGAGTGAGCAGGCCTCAGGTCTTAAAAAAAAAACATACATCAGTACAAGGCAATAGAGAAATTCCAGTATAACAATTTCTTTCCATTGCATTGCTTCTCCTTGCATGCCTTGCCCTCCACTCCTGTCTTAGACACAGATCCATAAAGGATTTGAGTCGATGAGGATTGTTCTAATACCTTTTCATTCCAAATTTAAGTTATAAAACTATAAAATCACAAGTTACCCTAATTCAGCTGTGAAACTAAAATTTCAAGAGGATTAACAATAATTCGAAACCTATTGAGTATGATTCAATTTGGTTTCCGTTAAACATCTTGCAATATGATCCACTCAAGAGGGTTTCACTAATATTTAGTACATAAACAAGCATATCAACAGTTCAGTTGACCACATAAACCTATCACTCAAGTACCAGTTAACATTCTTCCTATCTATTCAAGGAAGAAATGCCACCAAAAAAAAAAAGCAAAACTGAAACCAGTACGTTTTGCTCCTGAAAAGAAATCTATTCATTCCCTCCCAATTGATTGGACAACAGGTGCAATGACAAAAAATAGCACATGTGTTTCTGACATTACCTCTGCATACCACCATCCACAAAAACTGATGGACGAATAGCTATTGGAGGCACAGGAATGGTTGAAATCATGAGTTTCTCAGGTCTATCATTTAGATACAGCAACTCGCAGTCCTGTAGAGAAGAGTCAAGATGGAAATCAAAGGAAACACAATTGCATAAATGTGAGCCAAACTCAGATAAGTAATCTGTAGATGATCTAAGCTACAGAGCAGATAAATTTTGTATCACAGAAGAGATAATACCTCATCCAGCATTCTCTTGAGAAGGGAATAAACCACTTTAGGGTCAATTTCATCGGGAACACTAAAATTGGATGTGTTAGACTCTTTCGTGTGTGAAATTGCAGAACCATATTCATTTAAGAAACTGTCATTGACTTTTGTCCTTTCATGCATGATGCCTAACATCTTAGTATTCTTTTTCACCATACCTGCAATGAAACCACGTTGAGAAGATGTCAGTAAATTTACAGCACTGAAACAGGTAAAACTCCAACTGCCCACAAACTTGTAACCTAATTTCTCTAAGCCTTTTCCAAGGGACACACTTTTCCAGCATGTTGGAAGTACGAAATTAGAAACATAGCTGCACTTAATAAAAAGAATAATATGTATATTATTGAAGGACAAAGGTTTCAGCTCAGGATGCAAATGCTCTTCATAGATGGAAACAAAGAATATTCTTAATTTAAAGATAATAAACTTAATTTGGTTATTCAGGGAAAAAATATGCCTGTAATTAGTAAGTTTATCTCAATCAAATAAAAATGAAATCTCTCTCCAAACACTGAAACATGATCAAGAAAAGCTCAGGAATAAGCTTCTTAATGTAACAGCAACATGGAAAAGTTGAACAAAATTCACGGTACAGACCTCCCCCTCCCTAGTTTTTGATAAGTTGAACGGACCTTGCCCTCAAGTAATTTGTATAAATTACCCATTCGATTGTGACATGATAAACTTCCCCTCTTGATTGTCTTTACAAGTGTAATGACCAACTAAATTAAACTGCAGGGATGTTGGCTAACTTCGAAACACTTTGTGGAGGTCCTATGACGAGTGTGGCAGGAGGAGGAGACCAGCAGGGACAAACTGAAAACAATTTTATAATGTATAGTTGTGTACAAAGATGTCCCCTCTTTGTCTCATTATCACACTACGCCCGCAAAAATAACCTACCAAAGCTTTACAACTGCTCCACTATCAAAACAAATTTCAGCCCTACTTTTGCAAAAATAAGTTGCTCTGTGACTTGAGGAAATTCAACCAGAGTACCAAAAAGAATATGAACTACAACTTTTGCCTTTTTGGTTTTTCATTCTTATCAGTGACCGTAACAGCAACTCACCCACCAAAAATAAGCTCTCACCAGGACGTTTAGCATCCCCAATCATCTCTCTTCAGAGGTCTCATTCTGCATCCACACCCAAATGAAGTTCCTAAGAATCGAAGCTTAAAGCAGAATCATGTTCAGGGATTGTGGATATTACTTCTTGTCTCATTGATCTTGTGAATACAAATATCCACACACTATATTCTCATGCTTGACTTATTATTTATGTCTTACATTTTCAAAGCTTTAACCAAAAGGGATGACTTTAAGAAGATAAAAGCAAAACACTTGGCTCACATTCATATCACTAAAACAGAGAAATATACAGTGCAAACATGTATCTCCACTTATATATGCACATACACATGAAATTTCCTCATATATATACACATACATATGAAAACATACACTGCAGGAAAGGGACTCATACTGCTTCTTAAACAAATAGCCCCCAATAACATGCCTAAACCTCTCATTCATGCAGTAAGTACATCCTGAAGTTTTACAAACCCTTATCCAGAAAATGTATTAAGGTGAATGAGCAAACAGATTTTTTATTTTTAAGAGTAACCTTACATTATCTTCACAACCCAAAGTAATACAAAATTTGATGTGAAAGTACACAGCAAAAAAGCATTTATTTATTTTAACTTTGCATGCCCACTACTTTATCTTTTTTTTTCCTATTTTCTCTCTTTTCTATACACTTACTTTGTATCATTTTCTTCCCTTTCCCTATTCCCACCTTGCTTTTGGAGTACTAAAGGGAAATTAGTGGTAGTTTTAGGACTATACATTGCTAAACAAACACCATATCTAAACTTGATTGAATCGTTAACCAAACACCATATTGGACTTAATTGACTATAATATTGAAAGAAAGTACAAGCACAAACCATTTACATAGCCGCATCTAGAACAAGTAGCTGCTTTTCTGCTACTTGCTAGGGCATTACACCTCTTCACTACCATTTTTTGTAGCTCGCTCTTCCTCAAGGGCTCCATTTTGGGATTTCTCATCTTCTTTAGAAAGTTAAGGCGTTCTTTCTCCCCGAGAAGCACATGTGAACATTGCTGTTTGAAGAAGAGAAAATCATCCAAAACTAGAAAGCATAGTAGGAGAAAAATAAATGAATAAGCTCAAAATTTAACTCTGATAAAGCATTCAACACGCCCAGCACCATTCACCAAAATATGTGTGTGTGAGAGAGAGAGGAGGCAACTAAGAAATGACAACGTGGGAAAAATTATTCATCTCATGTGCTTTGACTCCCAGTAATGGAAGGAAACTTCCGAAAGAAACTTTATCTCAAAAATTCAGATGAAATTTTCATTAGAAGAACTTACCAAATACCATATCACTAGCTACAATCCCAACAGAAAAATGAGAGAAGGCCATTTTAACCTCTTAACATTCCAAGATGATAGTCTTAAACTATTCAGAGCTGCTTCTACAGATGACTCCCATTAGCAAATTTAGCATTTCCCACGTGCAGAAGTAGTCGCTTCTAGAAACAGCACCTCTTTGCATGTTCTGAGTGCAAGGAGAAGGGGATTTTTTTTTTTTTTGGGCACATGAGGACACAAGTGGCAAATAGAAGGCAGATTGGTAAAAGAATTTTTTTTTCAGACAAAAGAATGTCATCCTAGCACTCCCATAATTATTCAAGTCAGTCCTACGTACAAAATGATGAACCAACAGCAAATAAGAAGTATACTTTGCATCAACTTGAATCCAGAAGAGAGAGAGAGAGAGATTTGCAGGTCAAAGTAAACACTATGCACAAACATATAAGTAGAACTATAAGCATCTACCTTGCAAATGCACTTCAAGATGTCGAGGACAGTAATCAAGTATCCAACATTGTAAACTGGAAGAGCAAGAGTCAAATATCCATAGTGCCCTGGACATTCCCTAAAGTTCCCATGGCATGTTTCACAAATTCCATTCTTGTTTGCGGGGCCCTGGACCAAACAGCACCTTTCAGAAGATTTCTAAAATCAATTCCAGAAACCCAAAAATGTAACCAATAAATTAATACACTTCTGAACTATAAATAAATTGGAAACAACAGCAGTACCTACATTCAAAAACAACATTGATTTAGCTTGTTAGAAAATTAGAAAGTCACTGGAAGTGATCCCCTTATCAATAGACTATTACAAGTAATTTACTGAACAAAGCAATTCCTATCGCATAATTTGACAGATTAAACAAACTCTAGCCGCACAAAAGAGACCTAAAAGATAACTGATGCATCATCAGTTCCCCAGAAAATGCTATTTATTCGAACTCCCCTTCTCTTCTTCTTTTAAATGTGAAATAACAACAGCAGATACGTTTTCTTCTCCATCAGATAGAAAATATGGAAAATGAATCACGGCTATCAGTTCATCGTACGCAAAAATAGTTCACCACTGTTAAAAGAAACAATGAACGTTAAATAAGATACCATATGAGGGTCTAATAAGCCATTCTCCCAAGGCTTTTTCGCAGAATCATAATATACACCGCGGTATACTTGTACTTCAGCTGCTTTCAGAATCTCGGATTCTCCGAATGTAGAAAACTGAATACTTTCTCTGTTCACAAATTTCCACAAAAAAAAAGTAAAGAAATTATCAAACACGTTGGAATTTCACTTATTTAAGATTTAACCCAAAAAAAAAAAACAGAGCAATAGCAGTAGAGATCAGTTACATTTTGCGGGGGCCGACATCTTCAATGTAGGGCTGTTTTGTGAATTGAATCGGAGCTTGCGCTATCCTCGTCATTTTTCCTAATGTTTGCTAATTTACGCAGAAAAACTGAGGTTTAAGAATTAGGCGGGAGGGTTTTAGAGTTTCTCAGCGGGTGCAGAACTGATAAATAAGGCTTAGTTTGGGAGTAGACGAAGGAAGAGAAGAGAAGAGAAAAGATAACTTAGAAAAGAAAGGAAAAGAAGAGAAAAGATGAATATTTCGTTTGGGAGTTCAATGAAAGAAAAGAAAAGAAAAGAAACATCTTTCCCTTTGTTTGAGAGTTGGAGAGATACGGAAAGGAAGAATTTTCTCAGAATGTAACTTTACGTATTTGCCCTTTCATTTTTTATTTTTTTTGGGATGCAAAACCGAAGAAATCTCTTATTACCCTTGAATACATTCTGCTTGTCCTTTGGAGCTATCACAATTTAACTCAATTATCCTTGCAATATCTAAAATCATAAATTTGAGGAGGAGTTTCTCATGATTTAGGCTGCTGAATGGCAGAAACAACTTCACCAATGCTCTTGAACCTTCGCCTTTCTTTCAGAAGCAGTTTTGCAAAGGTGAGAGCTTGCTGTTCACAATTCGCACGTTTCTCTGGCTCAGCTATTCATTCGAAGTCTTCAACGTGAGCCACCCCAACAATTAGTCTAGAAGAATTAACAAACATTACACAAAAGTTTACATGGCCACACTTTGACAAATATTGACATCAGCCAAACACTCTGTATTCATCATTATACAATATTTTGAAGCTTACACAGACAAATAAACAAACAGAATGTATGCATTTAAATTTCATATTCATGTATCACCACTGAAACTTACATTTACCATAACCATGCAAGATATAATCACAAATCAATAATATAAAAATCAAGATTTCTCGTGGACAAGAATTTTATGACAGAAAATGAACAAAAAAATTTAGAATATAAACAATAACAATCTACACAAAAAATCCTTTTTTCATAATTCTTGAGAAGATTGAACAAAGAAAGAAAGAAAGAAGAGATTGAGTTAAAGAAATACCTTTTGTATTGAATTGTCGGTGTTGAACGGAAGAAAGCCAGGTGAATCTAGTTGCAAGGATTGAAATTTGAAAGTAAGAGCTGAGAAAGCCTTGCACCGGTGGTTTACAAATGAACTTTAGGATATAATGGGTATAATTAGGGGTGGGCGCGGGTCGGGTACCCGGCCCATTCACCATTTAGCTGACCCGACCCGCACATTGCGGGTCAACCATTTTTTGACTCTTACCCGCCCCGTATATCAGCGGGTACCCTATAATCGGGTATCCGCTGAGATAGGGTCGGGTCAACGGGTACCCGTCCCGCCCCGCCCCATTTATTATTTAATTTTTAAAAAAATAATTTATACCAATTTAATTTTATATTTTACACATTCATCTAAGATTTAAGAAATTTTTTTTTCTAAAAAAGGTTTCCCACCAAGAAACAAACATGTGAAGAAAATATAAGATAAAGGAAAAAAATTAAAAGAATTCGAAATCAATAAAAGTTTGAAATTAAGTAGCACATTTTTTAATATATATGTTCCACATTAATTAAACTTTTTTCTATAAAATATAAGATCATGGCCTCTACAAATGAATCTTGTAAATAAACTATAGTCTCTCATATTTGTAATACAATTTATTCAATAAAATTACTTATTTAGTTCTTATTATTTTATAGTGTGTGTATAAAAATAAAAATAAAACAAATATATATGCGGGGCGGATCGGGTACCCACGGGTTTTTAATTATGTGATCCTAACCCGTCTCGCATCTTAGCGGGTACCCGACCCTTTTTTGACCCGATCAAATAATAAAAATCGGATATCCTAATTTTCGGATTGGATCGGATCGGATATGACGGGTTTTCGGGTTAGCGGATAATTTTGCCCACCCCTAGGTATAATGAATTTTTGTATCAACTTTTAAAGGACAAAATTGTCATATTAGAAATGTCTTTTGGCGCCCAAGTTGTTTCCGTCCTTTTCTTCCCACTTTTGGGCGGAAAAATTTTCACCAGTTGGAGGGACTCTTATCCGTTCTTTCCTTTTTTCTTTTGTCCATCTTAGAACTCCCAAATGAATGAAACGGTACGGGTTTCTCTCAGAATCATTTCTTTTCTGTCCTTTTCTTTCTATCCAAATGAAGCCTAAAGCTGGCAGAGGCAGCATATAAAGTTAATAGCTGAACCAAAAATTTGTGCAAATGGTTGACCTAGTTTTCAAGACGATGTGCTGGTGGAGTGAGAACGTTGCGGGTTCGATTAGCTCTGTTTTCCTCCGTCGAAGGCGGTTGCGGGATCGAGTCTAACAAACGGAATTGCCTTAAATATATTATTCTTATTTTCCTCACCCCCCTTTTAAGCAAATAGAAAGATAAAAGGACTTTGTACCACAAATAGCTAATGGATTTTCTAAATTTTTGTGTTCATTTTAATCTTTGATATTGAAATTTTATGGAAGTTTAATATGTAAGGAGTTTAGATGCCTTCTAACCCTCCAAAGAGTAAATCTAATGCTCGCTTTCTTTAGAGAAAATAACAGGAATATTAAGAGGAGAAAAAAATAAGAATTCAAGATGAAAATCGAGGAGGAAGTTTTCTAATAGTAGCTTTCTTTAGATAAAATAATAAGAATTTCAAGATGAAAAGAGATGAGAAAGCTATCAATGTAAGATTTTGAGTAAATGGAAAACATGAAACAAGATAAATGTGTAATTTAAAGTAAATATACACAAGCATACACCTTTGTATTTTTTTAAAACTTTGTGTAAGTAAGATATACAACTTTATTTTCAAAACTTCTCATTCATAATCTCTTCTATCTTATCATTCAACCAAACATTCCCTTCATACGTTGTATATTCAGTCCATTCATAACTACAAAATTAACGTTGTTACATTAAGAATAGGAGAAAAGGAATAACATTTTTTAAGATACATGTTATCTATTATTTTGTAAGAAAGTTGAAAACAGTTTTATATTTATTATTGAGAAGAATGACCAATTGACATGATATAATTGAAAATTTTCCCTTTCTCCCCCTTTGGTTTGTGTTTTAATTTTTCTCCATTTTGTAAGGGTGAAGTTTAGAAGATAATTCAACATAAATTTATATTTTATTCTGTATCTTATAATATGTGATGCTAACATGAAATTAAGCAAGATATCAGTATTACTTGTTATTACTCAAGTGTATTCCATCAAGAGAATCCTAAATCAATTGTTATATGTAAATATGTATCATATTCATGTTTGTACGTATGACAACGTATACTTTTTTTTTTTTTGAGGAAGACCGAAGATCTCGTGTACATTTCAATGGTCTTATCAAACTTGTACATGCTATTGACTCCTAAGTTTCCTATTTCCTATTTTTGCAGCGGGAAATTTATTTTAACGTGTTACATTTTCATTCAGAAAAATTTTTGCCCTACTTTAGCAGTTCTTGTTTTATTGGGTCTAATCCGTTTGAGATTCCGGTCTTGGCTGAGGGTCTGAGAAACCAAATGTCATTGTCTTCGACCCCGTTTGACTTCACCTCCGAAAACCTAGCGATGGCAATTTTTGACACGACACATGAATTTAACGCGAAATTAATGGATTTTAATTGAGGTCTCGCGGGTTCGAATCAAAATCAGGTCAAACCCGATGAATCCTGAAAAGAAAACGAGTCGAATTCGAATCAACCCGTAGGTGATCCGATAATCCGTTTATGAATTAAAAATAATTTGATAAACATAAAAATTATTTTATCTAACTAAACTAAGTTATTCTTTTTTTTCAAAGACATTAATCACTTAATCTTAAATGAATTTATTTAACCTGTGTGAAGTTGAAATTATTACATTTGAATAAATATTGTATTATATTATTTTTTACTTTTATATTATTTTTATTTATTTTATATTTGATTTGAAATTATTTATTTAAAATTTTATTACTTGATTATGTAATTAATCTTGTGTGAAATTGGTTTTATAAAAAAATACAGTGATAAATTAATAAATTAAAATTAAATTTTGAATTATTTCATATCGACTCGCTAATCCAATCCAAAATTTTCGAGTTCGAGTCAGCGGGATTTTCTGTTATATCCAAGTCTCAACCCGACCTGCCAACCCGATTTGAACTGATCGCCACCCCGACGAAAACCCCTTAAACCCTAAATCGCAGCTGAATTAACCCCAAAAAGTATCAAAATAGTCAAATTCCAATGAAGACTGTCACAGGCCAAGTGGTATCAACAAAGCCAGTCTCTCTATCTTCAGCAGCCAAAAACCTCTCCGTCTTTGCCTCCCTAGAAGAGGAGAACGGAGCTTCCGATGCCGTCCGCGTGTATCTGAAACGCGCTTCTGATGCCTTCAACAACTTGGTTCAATTCCACAAGGAGCTAAAAGCTCCCCATTCGAATCGCAAACGTAAGGCATCTCAACCTCTTGTTGTTGATACAAAGATTGAAACTTTAGCCACCGTTGACAAAAACCCAGATGAAGAAAAGATCAAGAATGTGAAAAGTAAGGGCAAGCGGAAGAAAAATCGCGAATTAGAGGTAAATGATGAAGAACCGTTAAAGATTGAGAAGGATAAAGGAAGGATTGATGAAGTTAACGCCGTGAAAAGGTCGGAAAAGAAGGAAAAACATAAGAAAAATCGCGAATTTGAGCCTAGCACTGAAGGCTTGTTGAAGATTGGCCAAGAAGCAGATAGGCTTGACAAAGTTAAGGTACAGAGAAGTTCGGACAAGAACAGAAAAGATAAGAGAGCTGGCCAATCGGAGTTAAGGAATGAGGAGAGAGAACAAATTGAGCACAGCCCTGATGGGGTTGGGGAGGAAAGGAAAAAGAAGAAACATGACAAGATTGTGAGAGGTGAAGATACAGAGGAAAGAGATGAGGGTAGGAATAAGGCTAAGCAAGAGATTGTGGAAGTTGAAAGGAACATTATTGATGGAGTTGAAGGTGAAAGTGTGAAGAGGAAGGATAAGAAGAAGAAAAAGAAGGATGAGGGTGAGGAGGATGGAGAAAATGTTGGCAAAAAAGGAAAGAAAAATAGCCAATCGGAGGTGAGGAGTGAGCAGAGAGAACAGATTGAGCGAAGCCCTGACAGTGGGGTTGGGGAGGAAAGGAAAAAGAAGAAACAGGAGAAGATTGGGAGAGGTGAAGATAGAGAGGAAATAGATAAGGTTAAGAATAATACTAAGCAAGAGATTGTGGAAATTGAAAGAGACATGGAT